CGATTTAAAAATGTTTACTAATTTATACAGATATACATAAAAATTGAGCAAAAAAATGTATGTGATCAAGCATCAAATTAATTTTATAGGGGTTCAGAAAAGTATAGAATACTTCTTAAATGTGTTCCTATTATAGCCCAAGGGTTGAGTTTGACAGAATAAAAGAATGATACGAGTTATAATTAGGGCTCGGATTTATATTGAAATAAAATCGCAAAATATGGCCATAAAATATTGAAATAAGTGGGCAAAATATTGACATAAAATGACAAAAATTAGTGAAATATTGAAATAAATTATCGTTTATTCACTAGAAAACTCCCCAAAAAAGTTGAAATTTGACAAAAAAATGAATCACGTTTTTAAAATTTCACATTTGCTTTATAGCCCGACGAATTGAGTAACTTTACGCTCTTAGACATTTTGCGATTGACAAAATGAGGTGGGACATTTAGTGGGTTTTGCTCAATGTGCCATTTTTGAGGTTTTGCCCAACAAATTTTGAGATTTTTGTTAATTAAGAATTTTTTATCCTGTTACGAAGAATGTCTAGGGAATAATTAGTGGGAATGCAAATGTACTGTAGTGAATAATAGGCCATAATATCCCCTTTTCAGCGCCGCAGGCAAAAATTCTGAGAATTTTGGAAGACCAAGAAGCCAAATTTTTCCATTTTTAGCACCGCAGGCAAAAATTATGAGATTTTTGGTTGTCAGGCGGCCAGATTTCTTCACTTTTTTCCTAAAATTTATGAAAAATCCCTAAATTTTGGTAAAAATATGCAAAAATATTGAAATAATTTGAAAAATGTGCCAAATATTGAAATAACTGGAAAATTGGCAAAATATTGAAATATATTGAAATGTAACTTCGTTCAAAATCATAATATCGAAAAACTAATGGCATATTTGAGCTTCTCTTGCCATAATATATTCAGGAAAAAAAATATATTTCAATACAAATCCGAGCCCTAGTTATAATAAATTTGGGTTAGGATTTATATGGATTTAAATATTTTTTCCTGGTCCCATTAGGTTCTGAAATTTCTAGAAGACTGTTTTGGCGTATATGCTGATAAGGTCGTTTTTGAGTTATCAATCAGTATCTTATCCATATTTTTCGAATTATAGTCCATATCAGTGATGATTGGATTACCCTTTCGACCCAAACTCCGATCCAAAGCAAATCTTGTAACCTAACCCCAACTTTTTTTCTCAATAAGCCCCATTCTTAGTCCATATAAATCCTAGCCCTATAATAACCGGACTTGCTCAGAATATTGATTTTAGTATCTGTATCCGGATATTTACGCGTAACAGGCGGATATCCGCAGGCATCTTGATATTATCTGTATTCGTGTCCATGAGCAGGTCTGATAATAACAGTAAAAGATTAAATAATAAAATAATGAGAAGTAAGATAGGCAGCCGACTGACGGACTGTTTGTCTGTAGACGGGCAAAGTCAATACCACAACGTTTAGACAGCTGCTTCCTATATTAAAATACCCCCCAATTAATGTTAATAAATAGTATTAGCTCTCATTATTTTTTAATTTATTTTTTCTTAATTCCATCATTCTTTGTTGATTTCTAACAAGAATAGGCTTTCTGTGTTTAACATAAACTTCCAATTTTGTGCCGTCAAACTCCCAAATTAGAAGAAAATAAAACAATGAATTTATACCGATAAGAAAATATTCGGCTATTGAGAAGGTTGCATATGCTTTAAATTAAATATTTAAAACTAATCCTTTTATTCCTCTCCATCAATTTAACATGATAAAGAGGAATAATTAATTAATTCTCTACCACTTGGGGAGAAAACTTTGAGAAGATATCAAGGAACTTGGAGATAGCAAAGGATCGCTTGTTATCCCTTAAGGTTCCCGGGTATCCGTCCAATCCCAAATAATCCTTTAAAATAACTCTTAATCCTACAATGTTCTTCAGTACTAAAATTAAGAATTTTGAGTTTTTGGGCTTATAACTTATGTAATTTAGAAATTTAGCTTTCTGAGATATCGTAAAAGTTAAAAGCAGATTAATAGAAAAATTTTGGAACCCCTAAAAATCCAAAAATTGTTTCCGGACACCAGAAAATAATTTAGTTACTCATTAGGGATACCGTATTTCCTCTAAAATAACCCCATGGATTTATTTTTTTCGATCAACCTCTAGAGGAGGGCTATTTTAGAGGGGAAATTTTAGAATGGGCTATTTTAGAGGGAAAAGGGGCTATTTTTGAGGAAAAATCCTAGCCCTAAAACTTCCATCAAGTAGCTACACATTAAGGATATTTAAAAATGTCCAATCAAAAAATATTTCAACATATTTAACTTACGTATTGTGTTGCAGGTTAACACAAAAGTTAAATAAGAAAACCCCGTAGACATAGATAAGGGATATCCTACAAGAAATAAGGCGCATTTTATTTGAAAGACTCTGTCGTGCTAAAAAATATTTTTTAAATTAATTTTAAAAATAAACTAGCCATCGGTCTTAATTTTCGAATTCCCGAATGGTAATGCAAAAGATTGTTGAATAGCATATTTAAATTAAATGGGATAAGCCATAAAGCAAAACAAAAGGCGTGGACTTCTGAATTTAATTAATTATTTTGGTAGTTAAAATCAGAATTTTTTGTATTTTTTAAAATTTTTATTCTGATTTTTATATTTGTTTTATTTCAAAAATAATTTCAGTGGAGAATATTTTCAGAATTATTAAAAAGGCAAATTAAAGTAGAAATCGTAGACAAAACAGAATAATTAGAAAAATCAGAATTTTAAAAAAATATTAATTCTGATTATTAATTAAATTCTGATTTTCATTTAAGAGTTAATTATAATTGAGAAAATCGGAATAATAAATCAGAATTATTAACTAAGAATTTCAGAATTTTTAAATCAGAAACCTCAAACCAGAATTATTTAAATGGAATTTTTTAAATCCGAATTTTTAAATAAGAAATTAAAAATTCAGAATTTCTGATTAAATTAAAATAATGAAAATCAGAATTTGATGTAATGAAATCAGAATTTTTCAGAGGAATTTCTGATAATAAATCTAACCATATATAATTAAATTGTTTTTTACAAAATCAGAATAAAATGAATCAGAATTTTCAGAATCAGAATTATTAAAATTTTTAATTAAAGGTTTCAAATCAGAATTAGTTTATAAAATCAGAATTTTAATACATTTTAGTTCTGATTAATATATTAAATTCTGATTTTTATTTAAGAGTAATAAAATCAGAATAAAAAGAATAGGAAGTTCAGAATTATTTAAAATCAGAATTATCCAAAATCAGAATTTTAATATTTTAAATTAAAAATCAGAATTTCTGATTTTTTAAAGGTTTAAAATCAAAATTAGTTTATAAAATCAGAATTTTAATTATATTCTCATTAATAAGAACCAACTAAAATTGCTTTCAATATCAATCACAGAAACTGCGGTTAATCCCAACGCTTCAATAACCAATAAAAAATAGTGCAATTTAACAATCACGCAAAACCACCGTTTTGTTCTGTGAATAGAATCACCCAAAGAATAATGATTTTTATAGACCTTTTTAATTTTTTTAAAATAATTTTGAATTACAGGGTGACCCAAAAGAAACCGGACACAGGATTTATGCCATAACTTTATTCAAATTAAAGATAATGAGATCAAATAAAGATGAAATTATAGAGAACTAAATGGAGAATAAAATAAAAAAATCTTTTAGAATTTTCCCTATTCTACTTTGAGATAAGGTTAAAGGAAAGTGCGAAAAATTATTGCTCCAGGTCGCACCTTTTTTGAGGCATTTTGCCTATAACATTAGAACAGATTGCAGGAATTACAGAAAAAATTTTTGGCATCTAGAGCAGTCCTTTATCTATAGAAATTATAAAGCAAAAAAATTTTTTAGATTAACGCTTAAAGAGATATTCGATTGCGCGTAACCCTCCCAAAATGAGAAAATCGCATTCCCCCCAAAACTGATTTACATCTACTCAGAGCCATCCATGTAGGAGTTGGAGTTTTCATCTTTCAGATTTGTCCGGTTCGCTAATGATCTTAATTAAATTCTGTTGAGATCATCCCGTTTGGATTTCTCCTTTCTGAGATACAGAAAATAAAATTTTGGGGGGAAAATTTTGATATGGTGTACCTAAAATTACATAACTTTCTTAATCCTTAATCAAAAAATCTTTAATTTAACTATATAATATAGAAATAAATGAGCTACAAAATAATCTTGGAATTATTTAAAAATGATAAAAACAAAAAAAGTTATAAAGGATAAAAAAGTGTCCGGTTTCTTTTGGGTCACCCTGTATAAATTAAACTAACAATGGCATAGAAAAAACGAGGCGGTAAATGCATTGCTAAAACCTTTGAAAAATTTTTTTTGATTTTTAAAAAGCATTTTTTAATTAATTTATTAATGGCTTGGATAAGCAACGAGAATCGGAATAATAAAAACCAGAATTTATAAAATCAGTTTTTAGAACTCAGTATTTTTAAAAATCAGAATTTATAAAATCAGAATTTCTTTTAATTTCTTAATTAGAATTTTTTAAATCAGAATTTTATAATCAGAATTATTTAAAATCAGAATTTTTAAAAATCAGAATTTTTAAAAATCAGAATTTTTAAGAATAAGAATTTCTTTAAATCAGAATTTTTAAAAATCAGATTTTTAAAAAATCAGAATTTTAAAATCAGAATTAATAGAATCAGAATTGTTTTTAAATCAGAATTTTTAAAAATCAGAATCTTTTAAATCAGAATTTTTAAAAATCAAAATTATCAAATCAGAATTTTTAAAAAAAATTTTTAAATCAGAATTATTTGAAAATCAAAATTTTAATTTAATAAAACTTGGAAAATCAGAATTTTAATAAGTTTACAAAAATTCTGATTAAATGAGAAGGTTGCTAAACCCAAAACTTTGTTTGATACATATCAACTTTTCCATTAAAAAATTTTTTTAATAATAAAAAAATTAATTTACCATTAACCAAATATATTTTTGTGGCTTCCAAACACCAATACTTTAAATTATTTAATTAGAAAATTAAATTTAACCAATTAATTTACCTATAACTGACGGGAGGAAAAATACTTTTAAGACCCTTAAATTAATTTTTTGAGTGAGAAAAATTATTTTAAATTAATTAAAATACCGGACACATTGTTGAGGGAATCGTAAAATTAGCTATACGGTCATATTGCAATGTAAATGAATATGCCAAACATAAGTAACAGGCAATACCTGAAGGGTTTTTATTTTTAGAATATGTCAGAATTTTCAAATCAGAATTAGTTCTAAAACTCAAAAAACTTAACCCCTTAATATTTTTCGAGTTCTGTGTAATGGTTATGAAAACGCAGAGGATACGTCTCTTATCAATAAACAAACCTGGCCTTGGTTAGATTATGGATAAGAATTATTTTTCTCAATCAAGGCCGGAAAAATTGCCATTTTTAAATTTAAATAAGTAACGAATATGTAGTCTGTCCTAGTTGCCGTAAGTCATGAACAGAGGCGATGCAGGTTCTATTAATGCAGGTTCTATTACTCGAGTAACTAACCCCGCAGTTTGGAATTACCCGATTTTTGAATAAGGGTTCTGTGTTAATATACCCGCATTAGCGTGTTGGCTAACCCTCATCTTGATATTAGGATTACCGATCCAGAATAAATACACGAATTTAACTATTATTATCAAAATTTCAACATTCCAGGATGTAAAAATATAAAAAATTTTTACCAGGTAAAATCGCAGCTAATAACCCAATCGACCTAACTTTCCATTTCGCATCAGGTCTAATTGCCCATTCTGTTGTTTCAGAATTTTTATTTTCCCTAAGTTCCTCCTTTTTGTCAAAACAATTTTTACAAAAATTATTTTCTTTTTCATCAGAATAGGAAGTAGAGGCTTCTTCTGACGAATCTGGGGAGCAACTATTTGAGGTGGAAGAGTCGTATAAGGGGGGAGAGTAGGAGGTTGTTGGGTCATAATCTTCAATTACTATTTTTGTTGTTTTTGAAGGCTCTGGAATTTTTTGGAAATTTAGGGTTGTTATGGGGATTTGTGGTGGTGGTTGGTGGCATTTTAAAGAAATTGAAGTTGTTTTCATTTATTTTTGGATTTAAATATTTTTTTTTTGATTTTTTGGAGGAATATATTTTTATAAATAAATAGTGGGGAATACTTTAAAATTAAAATTAATTCAAAATAAGGTACTTTTTGGTTATCACAAAGTAGTTTTTGCGGACATTTTATGCGGACTCATTTTTGCATTGAATGGTCAAAGGTTCTTTCTACCTCGATTTTCTAAATTTTCCCTGCGCTCATTGGATGAAGCCACAAGGAAAATTGAGTGAAATCGAGGAAGGAAGAACCTTCTTGCTTTGTTGGGCGGAAGAAGCTTTGACCATTCCGTGCAAAAATGAGTCCGCATAAAATGTCCGCAAAAACTACTTTGGATAACCAATAAGTACCCTAAATAATTTTTATTTTAAACGAGTACTAGATTAATTACTCTCGCCAAGGTTGGATCTTTAACAATGGCTTGAGGCATTAATCAACATCCTTAAAAAAGATTAAAGATGATCACATTAATAAATTGTATGCTATAAATTTGAACCAAGTGATCATTGCAGGAACTTAACTAAATTCTTCCAAGATGTCACATAAATAATACACCGGGCCTAAAACTTCCAAACACTTAGTTCTCTTTCGCAAATACTTTTTTGAATTTAAAAGAGATTTAGGATTGAGATATTTGGAAAATTGTAAGGAAAGTAAAACTTCTTCAGAGATCGTGGATGATCATAATCAGAGCTATCATGCAGCGACGGTTAGGTTCTTCGAAAATTTCTCAGGTCTGATTTTGGGTAATCCGACTTATCATTTTTTACATTTATTTATTTAAATTGGGCGAGCGAAGATGACAATTGCAAAAAATGCAAAACGCAATGAGCCGGATTCCTTATGTAAAAATTTTTTTTGTATTGTGTATGCTCCTTCTCCCAATCCCACTCTAAGTAAATTAATATTCAAATTGTATAAACTGATTAAAATTAAATTTTTCTATTTTGTAATTAAATAATTTCCGTTAAAAATTAACAAAAAAATGAATATTAAGTAGAATAACATGAAAATAAACCGAAAATTGGGCAAAACAAAAACTAAAAGGTTTTATGTCTAAAACAAAAATGTTTCTTTACTTTATTTCACCCAATCGTTGAAATAAAGTAAATATAAATAAAATAATAAACGCTCATTCATCTTTCACCGCTATAAAACCTTTCTAAAAAAATTTTTTTTCCTTAATTTATACTTTTGCGCTTTTTACCAACACAACAATCATTAATTTCATTCATTTTCCCTTAGCAATTTCAAACACACAAAAATAATAATAATTTTTGGGAAAGTATAGGAAATCTATAAATTTAGTGAGAAAAAGGGAGAGAATGATCTCCCTTTCAAATTTTATTTTTTAAATTGATCAAAAAATGAATGCGGAATTGGGCAAATAAACGTTGAAAATGAACGTTGAGCTAAACTATAACGTTCATTTTTCTTATCTTTTTATCAAAACAATTTTTTTAAATTTTTTTTTGTTAATTTGATAGAGAATTAAATTTGCTACAAAAATGAAGTAAAAAAGAGCAAAGCAAAAAAATAAAAATTAAAAAAAAATTTTTTTGAGATGCGTCCATCTCTAATCGCCGAACTCTTATGTAAACTAAAATACAGAACATAAACGTAAAAAATTTTAAAAATTATAAAAATGAATTTTAAAAATTCAAAAAAAAATTTTTAGTCGAGTTTAGGAAAGCGGCTCGGTTCGGTTCGAATGATCGAACCGACCTCGAGTTTTGGCCCGAAAAAGACTCAACCGGTCCGGCCCGAAGAAATGAGGCCCAAAAAAGACTCGAACGGTCAGTTCGAAAAATACAACCCTAGTCGAATTCCTCCTAAATCATGATCAAATAAACTAAAGCACAGTGTTAAAAATCAACGAAAAAATTTTTTAAAAAATTTTAAGGCTGTAGTGTAGTGTACCGGTGGTAAAAGTTCTGGATGTAACATATGTCATTCGATTCGTCTTGACGAGCTGAGTCGAATGGTACCACTCCCTACTTTAGGAAATAATTCTGGACCGAGTTATAGGTCCCGAAAAATTGAAAAACCAAAGGGGGGAGTAAGCTCGATTTTGGGGTGAAAAATTCGAATATGCAAATAATAGCTCATTCGAAAGAGCTCGTCGAGCTGAGTCGAATGACACCAAAATCAACGAAATCTGACTTGATTTGACAAAGTTATGAGCATTTGTTTTAGCTCCTTACCTTTGGTCTACGTGCAGGTTTTTGCTGTTACTGGAGCCCCAAGTACATTCAGAGCAAGGGAGATGGGAGTAGGTTTATGTTACGAACCCAGACCCATCGCCCGTAGACTCCCCGCGAGGCGCGTGCCGCAAAACCCCGCGCGAAGCGCGGGGTTTTGCACAAGCGCCTCGCCGACGCCCCATAGGTTTATGTTGATTGTTTTTCTGTTGTAACTTTATCCAAACTCTTTCAATCATGATGATTCTGGTATCATTCGACTCAGCTCGACGAGCTCTTTCGAATGAGCTATTACATGCTTTTTCGAATTTTTGACCCTAAAATCCGCCCTATGGGTTTTGACCATTTCGAGCCCTATATCTCGACTCCAACTTGTTCAATCAAGCTGATTTTGGTGTCATTCGACTCAGCTCGACGAGCTCTTTCGAATGAGCTATTATTTGCATATTTGAATTTTTCAACCCAAAATCGAGCTTACTCCCCCCTATGGTTTTTCAATTTTTCGGGACCTATAACTCGGCCCAGAATCATTTCCTAAAGTTGAGAGTTGTACCATTCGACTCAGCTCGTCGAGACGAATCGAATGACATATGTCACGTCCCGAACTTTTACCACCGGTACACTACACTATATCCAATTTTAAATACTATAAATTATACTAAAATAAATTCAAAAACCAAATTTAAAAAATTAAAGGTTGCATTTAATGCGCAAAAAGAAAGGAAAAATAAAGAAATTATTCCGCTTCTTTTAACAACTTTTTTCAATTAGCTTATAGCTATTTATTCATTCCCTTATATAAAAAGCTATTCATTTTAGCGACAAAATGAATACACAAATCAATTGCTTCTCCTGCTAAAAAGGAGAAAAAATGTTTTTGATGGTCACGCTTTATGGGTGAAGAAGCGCATTTTTGTTAAAGACTGGCAAACATGTCGATAGAAATTATTTAATATTTACTCAGTTAAACATTTTAAGATTTGATATTATCTTTACAATATACGTATGTGCTAACATTAATCGAGAATGAGTTATCATTTTCTGACATTTTTGGTTGACTGACAAGATACAGCTGAAGTCGGCGCGCGGTCACAACGGCGCAAAGCCATAACTTGCTTCAAGATTTCCAAATCTTACCAAATTTAGTATTAAACGATTCCTCTCATCGAGCTAAAAAGATAGGTACCAAAATTGTTAAGGGCCAGAAATTTTCAAGCAAGTTATGGCTTTGCGCCGTTGTGGCCGCGCGCCTAGTGAGGCATGCACCGCTTGGCATTATAAAATGATATTCTGTAAACTTGACAATTTGAAAATGAGATTATTTGAAATTGACATTATGTAATAGTTGACATTATGTGATGCTTGATATTTTGTAATAGTTGACATTTTGTAATACCTAAAATATTTGACAAAATGAAATATTTTATTAATTCTCTCTCAGAAAAATAATTCACGTGCCTGTCATACTCACATGTCTTCTCTCACCGCTATGTTATAGAAGAGTAATGTAGTTAGAGAGAATAAACAAAGCCAGTTTAGGTCCTTTTTATAGCTCGTTTTACTCTGAAGCAATTTTCTTTTTTTATCGGCAAATAACTAGTTGATTGAAGAACAATTTTTTGTTTCTTTCAGACTTCTTTTCTCATCATAAACTTTTGTACGAAAGAATTTTTATCTGAATTTATAAAATTAATTGATTTAATTTTCTAATTTTATAAAGAACATACCCTTCCTCTCCAAAGTTGGACGAAATGTCTTCCTATATTATTTCCAAGCAACTTGTGACAATAATCATTTTACATTCATGTCAAAGTTCTTAAAAGTGAATTCTAAAAACGCTCACAATTCGACATTAGCTCCATTTAAATAGAACTTTTTAGAAAATTTCAAAATGTCGAATTTTCAAAATATCTAAAATTCAAAATATCAATAATAATTTTTTATTAGTCTGTTTTTCCAGTATTAGTCAACCATTTGCCGATTAAATTTCCTCCTAAATTATTTTTAGATAAGAGAAACGACTGTTTTATTTAATCGATTTTTTCTTGTACACTTCAAATTGACAAAAATAATTCTGTAAAATCAGGCACTTTGCTGACATTTATTTACATTTCTTCATTTATCAATCAACAAATTTAAATTATGAGCAGTCCAAAAAAGAAGATTTTGTTGAAAGTGATCATTTTAGGTTAGAAAAATTGAGGATTTTAAGAAAAAATAAATTTTGGGATCAACTGTCACCTTTAAGGAATTTGCTTAAATCACTTTATAAAATCGCTCCAATGACTATTTTAGGTTGCCTAGCACTACATAAGATGCTTAGCAGTCCAGATATTCCAAAAATTATTCTTTTCTTTATAAATTAGTTGAAAAAACTGGATGGTGACATTTGATCCCACAATTTTTCAAAATTTTTTAAATTATTTTTCAAGGAGATTCTGGCGTCGGAAAAACCTCGTTGATGAACCAGTATGTCAATAAACGATTTAGCAATCAATACAAGGCCACAATCGGTGCTGATTTTCTCACAAAGGACATTACAATTGATGATAGGGTTGTGACTATGCAGGTTTTTTAAAAAAATTTTTGGCTTATTTTTAATTTATTTTGTCAGATTTGGGATACGGCTGGTCAAGAACGTTTTCAATCACTTGGAGTAGCTTTTTACCGTGGGGCTGATTGCTGCGTTTTGGTATGAAAATTTTTTGGTTCTTTTCTGTTATACGACCGCAAACTGAGTGCAAGCCGAATTTTTATCGAGGGAATTTGATTTGCAACTTATTTTTATAGGATCAAGCATCAAAAAGTTAAAGCCGATCAAAATCGGTTGGGGACACATTTTGCGGTCGTATAACGGAAAATACCAATTTTTTAAATGTTTAAGATTCGTCTTGGGAGGTTGGTGGATTTTTGTTCTTTTTATCCTTGTGGCCTGGACCCTAGCTATGATGACTAGATGTTTTTCTGGGTTTTCGTGGAAAATCGATCGATTCACACAATTCTTTTTCAAATTCATCAAATTCTCTCGCAAAAAACCCGTAAAATTTTTTGATCGACTCCCTCCCTTCCCCAACTGGTTTCTCCTCATAGAGCCTTTTCTCTTTCACATTTTGCTCAGAATTTATTTCTGCCACGTTTCAGGTTTATGATTTAACTTACGCTCCATCTTTCAAAAACTTGGAAAGTTGGAGAGACGAATTTTTGGTTCAAGCAAGTCCTCGGGATCCAGAAAATTTTCCGTTTGTTTTGCTCGGAAACAAAGTCGATAATGAAGCTGCTAGAGCCATACATGCAAAGCGGGCTGAAGGGTGGTGCCAGTCAAAGTGTAATATGCCTTATTTTGAGGTTATTTAATTTTAACGGATAGTTCTGATTTAGGGTCAGAAGTCCCTGGAAATATTTGATACCCGGTGTTGTGTAGTGGTATCGCTATAGTATAAAAGCCAGTGAAAGCATCAGTCTAGTTGAATCATACTAGCGCGGCTAGTCTGTCCAAGCCCTTTCCACCTTCGCCTTCATTGTTTATTTCTACACCAGATAAATTGTATTCTTGTGCACGTCAACATTAGCTAGATCTCGGACACCTCCGGTCGTAATACCCGGAACCCTATCCGATACCCGTGCGGAAGAATCTAATATCTGCAATTTCAGCCCCAGTCTGACACCACTATAAGACACTTAAATTAACGTCAGTTTTTTGTGGGAGTTGTCAGCCTATTTATTTTTTCTGGTTGGATTATCCCTCATACATAGTCTTTCCATTTTTAACTTTCTTTTGGGTGTTTAACTTAAAATTTCTTTTATAGGTTTCCGCAAAGGAGGCATTAAATGTGGATGAAGGTAAATTCTAAATAATTTAACTTGTATGGGCTTGCCTTTAAATTAAATTGTTTTTACTTGGGGAAAAATTATTCACTGGAGAAAATTCCCTTTATGCGGCCAAAAGTCCGCTAGTTTTATCCGCAAATTAAATTATATTTGGGTGTGAATGTAAGGGTAGAAGAACTCCGAGAAACCTGTTTTAAAATATAAAGATGAACCGAATTTGGGAAACTTACCTTTTAAAGTTATTATTTGCCTCAGGCAATAATTTTAATCAAATTAATTTATAATTGAAAAAATTTATTTTTAAAGCATTTATGGAAATTGCAAAGGCTGCGCTTGCACGTGATGCCCAGGAAACTGAAAATCCATGTAAAAAAATTAATTTTAAAAATATATTTTAGAGAAACACCCAAGAGTTACATTTAATTAAGAAAAATTTCAGAAGGTTGGCTACACGTCCCCTCTCGGTCTAATTTTTCTACATAAAGAGTATGAGCCGTTGGAAATAACGTCAGATCAGAGAAAAACATCCTTCGGGGCTGAGTCATTCAGACTTATAAGGAAGGTGACATAGATGGGGACGTTATAGGGATCTTCCATTGTAATTTAAGCTTACTATTACAACACCTGCAGTTGGGACCGACTTGACTTGACGTATAAGAGAAAACGTAGTGAGAAGAGGATGGATGAAAGGGTGGGGGCGTCATAATAAAAAAAATTTGTGTTTTATTAATAATTTTTTTTAAATTTAAAGCATTTCCTGATCAAATAAATCTGAGAGCACCATCAACTTCACAACAACGTCAAAACAGTTGTAATTGCTAAAGAGGGGAATTTTCGAAGATGAAGTGAAAATTGGGAATTATTTGGAAAAATACCTATAAAATACGGATAAAAAATTTAAAAAAATTCAATAAAAAAATACCAACACACACCAATTTTTGCTATTATTTTCAATAAATTTTTCGATAATGTATATTTAAGTGCTTGGAAAGTTAGCTAAATGGGTGGATTGAGGATGGACTAAAATAGAGTAGAGATGACCGTGTCAAACCTTAAGACCTATTCCCTAAATAACTTTCGACTCAAAAGACCTGCAATTTTCAAAGTGAATATCGATGAATTTGGTATGATTGAAGGTGATAGAGATCTCTACTCTCACAAATCAGAGTTATGATATACGCTCACAATTCCGCCTTATATCGGTTCTATAATACAGAACCGGTACTTATCTTCATAGAATTAGTATTTAGGCCCCTTTAATCCTTCTAAATCCCACAATAATCTTTTTCAAAAGTTGTAAATCTTATGATCAAAGTTTTTTGGGGTGTAGCTCTTTTGGGGTGAATTCGAGATGACCACTCAACCGACATTCATACGTGTATCGAAGGTTGAAACCAGTGTTTGGAAGCTCGTGCCAAAATTCGTACTCTAATACCTCAATCCTCAAAATTCCAACCACTGGTTGAAACTTGTCTTAAACGCTTTTCGGAACTTGAACAAGTCTTCTGATTTATTAAATATTTAACATTTTTTTCTATTTCTGCCAGGGTGGCCCCTTCCAGTGTTTGGAAGCTCGTGCCAAAATTCGTACTCTAATACCTCAATCCTCAAAATTCCAACCACTGGTTGAAACTTGTCTCAAACGCTTTTCGGAACTTGAACAAGTCTTCTGATTTATTAAATATTTAACATTTTTTTCTATTTCTGCCAGGGTGGCCCCTTCCAAAACGCTAAAATAGGGCGCAGCTGCTGGGCTTTGAAACTAAGGTTGGTGGATAATTGGAAATCTTCGGATATCTGGATCCGAACCGAAAATTTCCGGATATCCGGCACTTTTTCGGATCCGGATCCGCCAACATTATTTGAAACAACAACGCTTTTATCTGTTCCGTTTCATTTTTGTTTTATCAACAAGTATTGAAGAAAACTTGTTGGGATGGCTATAATAATATTTTTTCAAGTCATACCCAAGATTTTGTTTATGCTTACGAAAAATTTTTAGAGAATAAATATATACATATATCGAATATCGATAATCGTTGATCGAAATGTTACGGAAAATGATTTAAAAAATAAATCTTCAACTTTCTTCGAGAAAATATCTTCAAACTTCATAATCATCACGATGATCAACCATAAAGATGGCCATATTGATCAACTCCAGTAGCGTGGCCATAAAGATCATTTAAATGTTTTTGTTCAGGCGTTTGATCTTGGTTACCTAAAATTATGAATTAAGCATAGCTTTTATAATTTGTTGAGAAGAAATAAAAGTTTCGGAACGCTTAACTCGGTAAGAGTCATATACTTATGGGAGCCTTCAAGCAGATCGAACGCTTTTTCAATGTTCATTAGAGATGGGATCTTAGAGGGAATTATATTATTATCCCCTCAAATTATATTAGAGGGTAAGGTTGGCGGTTCCGGGTATCCGGAACCAAAAAAACTTCGGATACCGGTTCCGGAGATTTCCCAGGAACCGCCATCCTTATTAGAAGGGCACGCAGATGGAGGGGAATCCGAGGCAGGAAGTCTGACCCTTCTGTACATATGTATAAGGAAAAAATACGGGAAAATAGGGTATTGTATACGATGTTCATGCTGTGGAAAAATTGTGGATGGGAGATGGAATTGAACCATCACGGAAAGGGCCCGAACCGAAAGCACAACCGACTGTGCCACCATCCAACCCGATGATGGATTATTTATTTTCATTTATATTCTTTCTGCAAGTGCGGACACAACATAGGGGGACCCTAAACAATGGCTTCCCAACAACACACCAAATTACAAACATATTACTCACCCTTCTTTTTCTTTTCAGTTGCCGATTGTTGTTGACCATTCCCTAAAATATTTAATGTAATTAAGAGTTCGAACCCGGACCGGGACAGGGTTTTCCGGGCCCGGCCCAGAAACCGGGTATTTTGATAAAATCCGGTTTTTCGGGGTTTAGCCTCTTTTCAAGTTACAAATTATTTTTTGCCTACATTTGTGCTAGCCTTTATCTTCGAGTAGATTGTAACTTTTGATTTTAAATTAAAAATATCCTCAGAAAAAATATTTCCTTCCCTAATTTAATTTCCCACTCCTATTTTCTGTCTAGTATTATTTTGAGAATTCCTTTCCTAATGTTCTGAATAAACTTTAGGAAAGGGATTGGAAATTTCCGAAAAAAAGTTTCTTTTTCCCCTCATTTCAAGAATTAAATTAGAAACCGTCATCAGGACGAGGGTAACTAGACTTAGGGATAGAATTTTGTTTGCTTAAAGTCTTCCTTCCAGCACCAGCATCACAACAATGAATAAAAACAATGGTGACTATTACAAGGGCAAAAAAGAATTTTGACATTTTTTAGGAGTTTTAAAAGTTTTTTTAGTTGAATTTGAATTTTGGATGTTTCCTCTCATTTTCAATTCGGCTTTTATATTAATCTAAATCAACAGCAATCATCACCCTTCGAGGAGGGCGTGAGTCTAGTAAATGCCTTATGATTATTAAATTAATTTCCTTAACAAAGCTTTTTCCATTGTTTTATATTAAATTCCATTGTTTAATTAGGAAAATTTTCCTGATGACAGTCTTTGCTTTATTTTATTGTCTGGCAATAAATTTTATTTCCTGGTCAGGCTGGCCGATCCTGACAGGTCGAAATTTCGATCAGCCCTAATTTTGGTAATTAAAATTAATTTTTGGCTTTATTTTAATGGGGAATTTACTTATAATTATCGAAAAAAGACAAGTAGCATTGTGTCTAATATTGAAGTGTCTATTGTCTTATTAAATTCCCCATGTAATTTAATTTTTTTAATAAAAAATTTTTTTAAATAAATTTAATAAATAAAGTAATTAAAAAAATATTATATTTAATAAGCGAATTTTTAAATGAATCAAAACTTTAATTAATTTTAAGTTCAAATGCTTATAATAATTTCTTTTTTTCTAAAAAATTTATAAATAGGGTTGTTGGCTCCAGGTTTTAAAACCGGAATTTTTGAAATTTTTTGCAAAAAATTAGTCGTTTTTAAAAAATTTTAAGAACCGAAAACCGAAAATTTGTGAAAATGAGTGATTTTATTAAAATTCCCCCAAAATAAAACCGGTATTTGCCTAAAACCCGAAACCGAAAACCGGGTTTCTAAAATTTAGATTAACCGAAAATCGGGGTACAGGTTAATAACCGGCCGCCAACAACACTATTTATAAACTTAGAATGACTTCAGAGTGAACTTTTTATCCTATTTACAGGGCACTTACCCTATTTTTGACATTTTAGCCCTATTTCCCCTATTTTCTACATGAGTTGAATCAGTTTTTTTGTTGCTGATAGTGACCGGTGTCTGACCAAATCTGTCCTTATTTTTCAGTGGCGTTTCAAGGGTGTAGATTATCGTCTAGTTGAAGAAATGGGCATAAAAAGAAAAAGGGGTGTATAGAAGAAAAGGAGACCTTATCTATCGCTGGATAAGGTAATTAATGGAAGTGGGATAATTATTTGAGAGACACGCAATCCGCAAATCTCATCCGCAATTGCGGGCAGCCCTGATCGGGGGTACAATTCCAGATAAAACTGAAAGGCTTCTGGCTGCAAAAAAATAAAAAGAGCAAAAAAGTGTTTGCACATTTTAGAAAATATATTTAGTCTCATTAATATTTTTTATCAAAACACGAAAAAATTTTCGCTTTTGATCTTTCCAAAAACAATTTTTCAGTAACTCACGTGAAATTCTGCAATACACAAAACTTAGCTAAATTTAGATAATGGGAGTATAAATTTACAAACTACACATAAAAACTAAATAATAAATTCACAGAACGATAATTGGCCGAAAAACCCCAATAAATTTGTATAAGATTCTCCATCCATCAATCCGTGGTCACAAAATTTGGCTGTTGTCTAGTGTGGCGTTTATAAAAGTTATGGAACTGAAAATCTAATATATATCGAAATTTAATATTTTTTATCAAAACACGAAAAAATTTTCGCTTTTGATCTTTCCATGACATATGTCAGTTATGGAACTGACATATGTCATTCGATTTGTCTCGACGAGCTGCGTCGAACGGTACTACTCTTAAATTTTGGAAATGATTTTGGACTGAGTTATAGTCTAGAAAAATTGAAAACCTTTTTATTGTAAGTTATACGGGGAATAAGCTCAATTTTGAATATGTATCTGTTATTGTTTTTCCTGCTTCGAGGCCCCCAGGGATGTTAGCGAAGATATTAATAGGATTCCTAGGTCACGAGCATAATTTAAAAAAGTTTTAATATAAATAGCTCGATCGAAATTAAATGAAGTAAATACCCTAGAGGTTCGTGACAATCTAAAATTTATTCTTGGTCAATGGGGGGGGGGGGGGTGGGCATTACAGTGAATAGACTTTAAGGAAATTGTCCCATTTCTATTAAATGATGATCCAAACTTTGCAATAAAAAGCTTATCTCATTAACAGGCTAAATAAACATTTAAAAATATTAAATGAATTTTATGCGTAATTTGGGGAGTTTAATTCTTTAAAATTTGGCCAAATAAAACCAGCAGAATTTACCCATTAAAATAACATTTAATAAAAATAAATAATTCTTTAAATAAATAAATTTACAAAAAATGATTAAAATTAATTCCATTATTTTCTTAATTCTTTTAATTATTAATTTTATTAATTATTATATAATGGCTGACAAACGACCAACCGCTCCAGGGCATTCACCTGGAATTGGACATTAAATTGGTCGAAATTGTAATTTTTTAATAATAAAATTAGAAAATATACAAGGGATCCTGTGATATAAAAAAATAAATTCTCAATTTAGTCAA